GCTTCTTAATGAACTTGTTAGTGTCTCGTCTTGTTGACTTTCTTCAGTCTGTTAAAGTTTTCTGACTCTTTAGGTTCAGCTGCAGCATTTCAATCGGTCTTGGCTCAAACAGGCCATTTTACTGCCTTCATTCTTTACTTCAGCCATTCTTGTTGGAAAAGTGCTGCTGTGAAAATCTAGGTTTTCCCCACTTTCAGCCAAGAGTTGTTAAACAGATGGCCTCACATTTGACTCCAGAAGACTTTTTGGTGTTCGGAGAAGTTTATGGTCAGCTCAGTGACCACGAGGTAGTAAATTCAGCGGCTGCAAAACAACACGTCTGCTTGACACTTGGTACGAGCTGTTTGTGCTCATTTCCTTTGTTTTCACTAAAATGTCTCAGCTAGCTAAAGCACCTTCTTTGAGATGTTTGTTGCTGTTTGCACAAACATTTTGTAAACTTGTTGCCAGTCGTACTGCCATGTTCTTTTTTTTTTTTTTTACAGAGACAGAGGTATCAGTACAGATACTTACCTTACTTAATAACTAAAGTAATTATTTTTAGCTGACGTTTTACTTTTACTCACTACATCTTCATGCAGTTATTTGTACTTTCTATTTCATTTTGGCTTGTTTTTATTTCAGCTTGTCACAAAAAAATTATGTAGACATATGGCACTTCTTGGATAGTGTGAGTAAGAAGTATAAATATATACCATTCTGACATCCTATCGGTTTGAACAATCCATCACACCCAACCGGACATAGGTTTTTTTTTTTGTTTTTTTTTTTTGTATGTTTGTTTTTTGTGAGCAGCAGCCTAGGCATACTAGTATACTAGCCTCTCCAATGCTAATGCCAGATTATCCATGCAAGTTGCAAGCCTCTCTAATGCTAACACCAGCCTATCCATAGTTGCTAGCCTCTCCAAAGCTAATGCCAGATTATCCATGCTAGTCGTTAGCCTCTCCGTGACAGTGGTTCAACAATATGGCGGAGCTGAATAACCAAACAGGACAACCAGTAAAAAGGTAAGTGATTTTATTTGCAGGTGAATACTGCAGGTCATCTGGCTGTGAAGAGGAGGGAAAACGAGAGGTGAGTATGGATTGCAGATTTGGTTTCTTTAGTGAAGTTGAAGAATTAATCTTTAGGCTTTTCTTACAGGTTTCCAGGAGACGAGCAGCATGGACAGAGGATGACTTCCACAAGGAAAGGTTTCTGTTTCTTTTCATCAGGCAGAGTGGCTGGTAGCAGGAGGGATAATCTTAACTCGACACTTGGTAATAGGTTCCTTTCTGTGTTCCAGGAGGGTTTCAAAGACAACGAGACAGGGCTTCAGACAACTTGGTGATCCACCTCGGAGCAAAAACGAGGATAAGTAAACAATACTTTGGTTCACCTTAGTAGGCTAAAACAATACCATAAAGATAAGAAGATAGTGGAGACGTCTTATAAAGCCAGCAGCTCATCAGAGGAAATCCTTCACAGGTGCAGAGATTGAGTGCAGGAACCAATCAGGAAAGGACAAACCAAGACGAGTCATCACACTCCGATGTTAACACAAATGAATAGTTTCCTTCTTATTTGCCAGGGCCGGCCTCGCAGTTAGAGGTGCCGGCCTATCATTAATCAGATCAATAGCTGGCTTAGGAATAGATAGCCTCCTGCTACAAAGATGTAGCAACCGCTGGTTGCGAAATAGTCTTAAAGGGCCAATGTTATGTGTTTCTCAGGCATATATTTAAATACTATACCATAATAAAGTATCTATGTCACCTTTAGCTGTTATTAAAATGCTGTTTTATGTTTAAATAGAAAATAAACTTATCTTCTCATCACTTCGCAAATAGGGGGGCTCGTGCGTGGGGGGTTCGCACGTGCGCAAGGATGTAGTTTACTTGGCATCTGAAAATACATTTCTTCAAAGGTATTTTTAATCTGAAAAGAGCTTCACTGAGTGAGAACTAATGTTGAGAGCTCAGCAGACAATTAAGTTTCACTTTCACCCGAGAGCCTGCAGGAGTCATGGGCGGGGTGTGTGGAGAGCGGGGTAGGGGGTGCACACTGCCATGAGGAAGCTCGGCTTAAAGATACGTCCCAGGGGCGTTTCTGGTACCAAAAGGCATTTCTGGTCCCCACTTGTCGTTTTGCTCCTCAGCATGGCTTTCTAAAAACGCTGCAGGATTTCTCAAACATGCATGAATGAGCCACAGCAAGGCTTTGAGCATGTTTTTTATGAAAGTATAACATTATAACATGAAAAAAGTTGATTTTACAGGATATTGCTCCTTTAATATTGGATCTTAGACCACACCATGCATATGCAGCTAAAACAGGTAGCCTATGCATCCCAAATATTTCAGCTTTAACATTTTTAATAAAACATTATAGTCATTTGGGCCTTTAGAAAACAAGTTTTGTTTTGTTTCTTTGCAGAGATTGTACACCATATGGTCTGAAAGGACTGGGAATGATGAGTGGAGTGGCTGCAGCTGTGACAGACTGGGATAGAAGTGGCTGGTGGCACAGAGAAACGCTCAAGGACCGATCAAATGAAAACACAGGTGACAGATAAACACAACAATCCCAAAACACAGAAAATCAACAGAATAACCAAAAAAGACTAAACAATAAACTCAAAAGATTACAAAAAATAAATAACCAAGAGATACATTTGAAAACTTAAAAAAATCTTAAAAATGTCAATAAATCCAAACAGATTTAAATTCATTGTGATGTTTATTTTTCATGACCATGCATCTTGGATTAGCAGTGCACAGTTGTTCCTAATAAATTCAATGAGCTGGACAGGACCGCCAGATGAATGAGTGGGGGGATGTAGGCTCTTTTTGTTCCAAATAAGATGCTTGGTTAGAAAAAAAGAAAAGTTAGCATCTTCCTGCCGCCTCACTGCTTCTTTTATGCCTCTGCACCAGAGCCTGTAGCTGTCAGCTGAGCCTGCTTTTATAGGCTGATCCGACAAATAACTCTAGACCTCAACATGCAGATTTTCTCTTTCTTTTTTTTACCTCATATTCACAGCAAATCAYAACTGTAGCGATGGTTTTTAAATGGATACAGAGATCCGCAACTAAGATTGAAACTGTTCAGAATGAAGGAAAATCTAACTAGAGATGAAGCTGAAAACACTGAGCTGTCACAGCTTTCAGCTCAGACTGACTGACATAAATCTTGAACTGTTTCAGTTCAGCCACTTCACAGCGTCTGACTTTGATGACAGTGAAATTTTTCAACAAAAGAAAAAACCTGATAGGGTAGCAGAAATCTTTGTAACTGCACACAAGCAGTTTTTACATCTTGATGAAAAAAAGACAAAAATTTTGCTGGAAAATATGTTTTTTTTTAATCTTTCAAAAGAAAGATGTTCTAGAAACTCAGTGATATTTGAGTTGTTAAAAAACATTATTCAAATTTATCAATGCAAATTAAACACTCTTTGGTAGGTTTTAGACTGTTCCAGATCAACTCTATTTGTACTTTTGTAGATTAAATGAGTCAAAAACACACAAAAAAACTCCAACCAGGAAATAAAAAGGGTAGCAATAAGTGGATAATCCACTATGTAATTTGATTTATAGTGGAGCTTGTTTAGGTATTTTTTTTCTCAAAACTTTGTCACTAGAAAATAAATTGCTCCATTGTTGTTGTTTTTAATAGATTTTGGGCACATTTTAGGCAATTTATCAAACAAAAAAATAATCTTTTTTCATCACAATTGTTTCAGATATTTCTAATAATTTTTCTTTGAAGTCTTAATTTTCCTTTAACATCCTGTGAGGGATTACAGCTCAGCATGTTGATCTATTGTCTGACATTAACCAGCGACAACCCAGCCTGGTTCAAACAATGGATCATTGTGAACAATGCATCTGGGAGACAAAGATTAATAAGCTTTAAAATATAAAAAAAAATGATTGTTTAAGGTTACAGACTGCTTAGTCACTTGAACTGTTTTAAGCAGCTGATGGGTTTGTGACAGGGAAAACTGTCAAGATGATTTATAATTTATGTTTCATTTTTGTTTTCAGCTTGATTTATTCTCRTTTAAAATAATTTTATTTGTCCCATTTTTTATTCATATGTTGCTCGTTTTTGATTTTGTTTCCAAGTTTGAAATGAATTGCTTGTTTTTCCATTCATGCTTCCTCACTTATACAGCTCCTATAACACCCAACTGTTTAATTTCTTTAACTGTTTGCATTCATATTTGAACCCATGTAATATCAACCTTATCTCTCTTTTTTTAGATAACATATAAAAGAGTGGAGGGAATGTTGCCAGCTGATGTTTCTATCTTAACTGCTTCCCTTGATCTTGAAAAAAATCAATTACCAAGCAGCCAGTTTATAGAACAAAACACACACACACACACACACACACACACACACACACACACACACACACACACACACTACATCTTTCTCTGCTTTCATCATCCGTTTCATCATTTTAGCGAGCAGAACGTTTCATTATTCTGGAAATACATGAATCCCAGTGAGTCACATAAACAGTGTGAAAATGAGGTGAAGTTCACACGGTCCGATGCAAACTCTGAGGGTCTAACACCCATCACTGAGCAGTGAAGGTGAGGCAGGATCGCAGGGCAGAGATTCACCGAAAGAAACAAGATATAAAATCTGAACTAGTTTGAAGAGGCTCCTGATGGAGCATAGGTGTAAAAATAAATGTCTAAAATAAGTATTGAATTATTTTTACTTCTGCTTCTCAGGGAACTCCTGAATAAGTTGAAACAGTTTTATACGCCTGCTGTAACATTTATTTTCAAATGTTTCTGAGGATTTAACTTAAAATGTAATTGTTTTTTTAGATTTACGTTTATGTTTTTGCATGTTCTCTTTGACCATACATGATTTATTTATTTTTGGATACTTTTTTCCCCAACCATAGTTCAGGTCATCTACGTATATTTTTACACATATTACACATTTATTTGCCTGTAAAACAGAAATGTAATAAAGTAGTATTAACAACTGTAGTAATATCAAATGTAATTTACTTTTATTTGTTGTGAAGCAGCCAGCAAACGTTCAGATAAGGAAGAATGTGATTCCAAAAGCACAACAGTTTTACTTAGCTGTTTTATCTAAATCTCTTTTTCATGCTTCAGTCAACATGAGTCCTCTGAAACCAAACTGACCACATGATGCAGAGGAATGAGCTTCAGTCCATTCACATTCCACACGAGCTACAAGAGAGCAGATGGGAAAAGTACAACCTATGACGCAATGAAAAAAATAAACATCTTCAAGTCTTACTAAGCAGATTTGCAAAGTTTTGCATTTTGATTATTAATTGTGTTTTTTAATCATTAATCATAAAAATCTAAAATAGTTTATTTTTCTTTTACATTTTTCATTTCTATTTTTTTTTTCTTATCAAAGCAGACAGGATTGTAACAAAACGGACAAATTTATTGGTTACAGGACACCATTTCCGTTGGACAAAACAGAAAGAGGACATTCTGATCGACTGTGATTATGGAAAGCATTTGGTATGAAAAGAAAAAAAAACCAACAAATGTATGTAATTGTTTCATCTCATAAACATTCATTGACTCTGGTTTGCCACAATTAATTGTCTCCTGAGAACTCACTACTGCCATGAGTGATGATGATGAGGCCTGTGAGGTAGATCACTATCACKTCACAATGAAAATATTAAACAAGTTTTTATATCTATATTTAAACCAGCAGGATTTGTATTAATCATGGTTTCACCAGTCTTTTAAAAAGGTTTAAGTTTTCCATCATCATTAAGAAATCTGATTTTAATGTTATTTCTGCAAAACCTTTTTTTTTATATCAGTGCATTTAGTTATTATTCACAACTGTGAATTTCTGAGTTAATATATTAGTTATTTTCCCACACACTTTTTTTTAACAAATTGGGGCTTGATCACTCTTCAAATGATTAAATACATCACTTGTTTGGTTAGTGAGAAAAGTAATAACTTGAAGAAAATATRCAAATTAGTGAACAATTTTGAACAAAGATAAACATTTAAGCAGCGGCACTACAGTACAGCTAGCAATGTTCTGACAATAACTGCCTTCAATCCAGGATCAGTTTCTGCTGAAAACATGTAATTATGAATATCAATAATGTTATCGTGAATGCTTTTACTTTGTAAATCAGCATAAATAACTAATGTGGTTCGTTTCAAATCCCTTCAGTGTTTCTGCATTTTCAAAAAACTATATATAAAAAAACGAGTCGTTCAGTGGTCCCATAACAACAATATTCTACAGAGACTTTTAAAAAAAATGAAGCAATAAAATCATGGAATGAGAGACTAGTTGAAACATGTGCAGCAGGTGGAATCAGCACAAAAGTTGAGTCACTGTGAGAACAGCTGCAACGCTTGAGAGGACTGGTTGTAATGCGACCGCTCCGCCCGCAGCTTTACAGTGGTCCAGGTTTTGGCCGATACAGGCGGCGWACGCCATTACATGGGGGATGTAGTTCTGTTCCTGGACCCCGTGAAGCAGGTGAGCCATGGGGCCCTTGGCAAACACGGCCACATCCTCGCCTCCGTGAGTCTCTGAGGACAGGGGTACGGCTGACTGAGCCTGATAGTTGTCTGAATCTGAAAGGAAAAGGCAGAGAAAGAAAGAAAATAATGTAAATATTGCCTAAGAGTATTGAGTCGTAAATGAAATCCAAACATCCATCCAAATCATGTGGTCAAAACCTACAATGTACTTACTGTGGTTAATAGTAGAAACATTCTCCCTTGTTCCATTGATATGTTTGTAGCCTGGTCCGTTTCCATATAAAATGGACGTGAAAGGCTTCTGATCCATATCACTCAGAAAGGGGGACAGACCTGCCCATGAAGTATTTGGGATTATAATCAGAAAAGAACCAAAAGGAAAACTTAAACTCATCTAGGTTTATCACTACAGGTATGCATCTTAGTATAGTATCTCTGCAGTATCCATACCAAATATTGACGTTCCTCTCCACGTGTAGCCTCCAAATGTAAAGACATGAGAATGGTCAGCAGTAACTACAGTCAGTGTGTCGTGGACGCTGGTCAGGAGATCAGCCCGACCGATGGCACGATCCATTTCCACAGCTTCGTGCAGAGCCTGCTTGGCTTTGCCCTCGTGGTGTCCATGGTCAATACGTCCCCCTGGAAGAGACTATTCTTAATTAGTGGATCTGGAAAACTGGAACACTTGAAATATGGGAACATGGTCTCTGAGAACTATGAGAACATTGAAGTGCCTGTGACATGCCTATCCTTCAAATACAAAAAGTCAAAGAYATATTTATTCTTAAGAAAATTGTCATAGTACACATGATTTTACACATTTTGTCTCATAACTGGCCTGTTTTCTTTTGGATTTGGCTCAGCCAAAGTGAAACAGGAAGTGACATCAAAGGGGAACTCTTTAATAAAATAAAAGCTCTGGTCTTTGTTTATTAAAACAATGTTATTTAAACTTTAACACTTCTTTATCTCTCTTTGACAGAAACTCAAACTAATCTAAAGAAACATCAGATTCTTCTCCACAGGCTCTGTTGTTAGCTGTTGTAACAATGCTCTGTGTACATGCAGACATTCCCCTTTGACATCACTTCCTGTTTCTTCACACGCAAATATCTCAACAACTGTTCATCTCAGTGGCGTGAAAATTGCTTTGCAATATTTTATCAATGTTCTCTTTCCAAAAATGCGTTCATGTGCATTAGAAAAATTTGATGTCACAGGCACTTTAAGGTGCTTCACGGGCAGCAACAGGCGGGAGTTGGAGGAGGTTTCATCAGGGATAGTGGAGGAGCTCACGCTGAATAAAATCAAAGAGATGTGTGCAGTTTGGGACAACTTGTAAAGCTTGCATTCACGTCACCACCCAAATAAAACCTGCCTCACGCGGCGATACAGACCCACGCAGCACAAATCTATACTGTGACAACATTGTGGCACATTTTTGTGGTATTTTCAGGAGCAGAAAAAAAGCAAATGTCAGCGGATTCATTTCTTGTTAAGCACAAACCTTGAGGAAGAGATGTACGGTAAGTGCCTCAAGTACTGCTGAAAAATGTGAGGTTTTGTCAAGTGAACCAAGTGAAAAWCTCCCTAAGAGAGAACACTGGGTCCATATATGAATCTTCAACATAAAAATCCCCAGTTTGAGTGAATTAAATTGGTTGTCGGAGGGTTGATTGTATATTAGCACGCTGTGCTGTGATGCAAACTGTGGGTGTTTTCTGTCACTCAATCATAGATAAAACTTCAGCTGTTTAATATTTTTACTAGACCTGTGGAATTTGTTTATGTGAGAGCGTAATATACCCAGTCCCACTGTTCAAGTCAAACAATACCAAGTCATCTGAAAAAAGGTCAGTCTCCCTGTTCACAGGCAAAATGTGCTGCTTCGACCAAATTGCTCCCATTTTCCAAATACCAAAATGCCAACAGCGTGCAGACAGCTAAAGCAGAGCTCCCAGTAAAATGTGTTTAGACACGGCTGATAAATGCTCAGAATTATTAACACTCCAGATCAGAATGCAACATGACAAAGGGTCAAAGAGAAAATCCTCTCTTTATGTATAAATCATCAAAGTCAAGCTGTTGCCGCACCACAAACATTGTATCTTATTGCCAGAGCTGCATGAATTCAACTGGTGATGCATTAAGTAAAAAAAAATCTATAACATAATTTCAAGAATATCAGTTTTAATAGGAAAAATGTCGCAAATAAATAAATAAAAAGCATGTATAATGTGGGTTTAGCTCCCATATACATGTAACTGCTTTTTATTTAACATCTCATTGCAACAAAAGTTTCTTCAGCTAAGTTGCTTAACTTTAGGGTAATTTAGTTTAATTTGATGTGTAGGACACCTTATCAGTCAAACTGTTTAAGTTTTTGTACTGTTTTGTAACATTTTGGTTTGTTGCTGAACAATTTGATGACTGACTGGAAAAAATAGCAATCAATCAATCAAAACTTCTTCGGTCCGTGATGATAGATTTCCAAACAAAAAAATTTTTAAACACTTCGCCGTCTTTGTTTTACTCTTTAATTTGCTGACGGTGCAATGACTTCTGGGATACCGTCAGCCGCATAGGATACTCAGATGCAGTCCACGTTTTCGGGGTTTTGTCAGCCGCATTAGTCGGCCGCATGAATAGGCGCCTACGAATTGGGACAGCCTACGGCGCGGGGCAGTGACGTAAGTGGCTGACAAATGCGGCCGACGTCGGCTGCAAACCGTGAATTGAAACACAGCCTGTAAGAGTGTAAATGCTCCCATGGCCTGTTTTATTTTTTAATAAGGGAAGCGAGGTTCAGTGGTAAACAAACTCAGAAACGTACCTTCTACAAGCAGATAAAATCCATTCTGGTTTTTCCTCAGGATCTTTATGGCTATTTCTACCATTTCTGTCAGAGAGGGTTCGGTGTCAGGGTTCCTCTCCAAGTGATAAGTCATATCTGAAGGTTCAAAAAGCCCTGGAATAACAGCATCAACAGTGCATGGAGAAACAGCATATTAAACAGAGAAAATAAATCACCAACCAGTGTAGAAACTCTTCATTTCCACTTCACTGAGCGCTTTGGAGACTTACCCAGTAAGTAATCCACGTTGTTTGGGTTTAGAGAAAGCAGCTGCTTCTTGTTCCATACATAATAGCCTTTCTGGAAAAAAAGAGACTTCAGACAGTCAGTCACTTTGAACCTCCAATATGAAAAATGTAATTAAGTTGATAAAARGAAGGCAAGAAAGCAAAAGGAGAAAAACATGGAATTAGAAATATACACCTTGTSCTTTGTCCTGTCTATCCACTCCTGCACCAGGTTTCTCCCGTCTTTCCGTGTGCCGTTGTGCTTCCCTTGAGTAGGATATTCTACATCTGACATGTTTTTAGGGATCAGAAATTTTCTCCCTCCACCCATAACAACCTAAAAAAGGGGGGCAAAGAGGAAAATGTATGTATAACTGCAGTCACAAACATTAAAGGCCTTATTAAAACATCCTGTGCATGAAAGAGAATCAAATAAGGTGAAAATGTAATCTGTTCTGTCAGTAAATCCGTGTTTAATATTATAACATGTTGATGGTGTTGAAAGCATGATGTTTCCCATCCTAGATTAGCTTAMGTATCAAAATTTAAGGTATTTCAAGACGTATAAAGAAAATCAAGTGTTTACCCAAGACATTAGGTTTAATCATCTTGCAAATCATTTATGTTTGGACAAAGTTTCATGGCAAGTCATAAGAAGTTTATAGAACTGTTACAGACTGGATCAAAGCAATAAAATTATTATTTCCAAAGCCAAAATAATTAAAAAACCCAAAGATACTGAGATGATTGTGTCTTCCACATACAGTACGTCTGATGTGCAGTCGAACCGTTAACTTCCCAACCACTCAACCCCAGCCGCCTCAAACGTGACTCACATCAATGTTGGGAATGTTTTCAATCAGCTGTCTGGCGATATCCTTACAGCCGGCCTGCAGGGCTTCAGCTGGCATGTCGCTGTCAGAGTACCAGTCTCGGTTCACACAGTGAGCGTAGGCGGCACTTGGTGTCGCATGGTTGACCCGTGTTGTTGTCACGATTCCCACGGACTTTCCTGCAGTGAAAACACAAAGCAGCTAGTAAAGTTTTGGTTTGAAGTACAGATCAGCAGTGGTTATATTAGTTACAAACACTTCAACATAACCTTTGTTTTTTCTGTTTTTCTTGTTTGTAACAATCCTTTTTTTCTACTGAGTTTCAGTAAACAATAACACAATGTTAATGCATGTTAACATTGTTTAAAATGGTAGCAGTATATAAAACAGCCAGGTACGTACCAAGCATTTACTTGATAAGTACCAAATATGCCCCAAGTACATTCCAACCTACACTGAAAAAAAGGATTTTTGGGTGTAGTAACATTTGTTTAATTGTTCTTTTAAATTTTACAAAAAAATATCAAAAAATCTCTAAACTATTAGAATTTATTAAATAAACAATTTGCATTATATTATATATCAATATTACTGTACAAAAAAGTAAAAGCTAAAATTATTTTACCAGTGATATTTAAGTGTTTTTTC